CGTGCTTGCCTGTTCCTTCCCTGGGGATGCTGTTGACTGGACCCACTTCAGAACTGTGTGGGGTGTCTCTGCCTGGCCTTATGCTCCTCGCAGCAGAGAGGTGAAAAGGGACAGGCCCTTGGGACATTTTCTGGCTGTGGACAGGAGCTGCCACAGCTGAAGCTGGAGAGGCCTGAGAAAGGGAAAGAAGAAAATCAAGGGCATGTGGGCAGCAGCTGCTTTCCACTGCAGGAAGAGAGAGCCTGTCTCTCTGGGTGAGGAAGGAGCTCTCTGCACAGTTCACAGGGCCAGACCGCCAGCGTGCGCCCAGGGTCTGTGCGCGTCACCCAGAGCGCGGTACGGCCGCGCAGGGAGGGAGCGCGGTCGCATGTGCAGGAAGCCGCTTCTTGTAAGAGCCGAGAGACACCCACGTGTTCTTTGAGGTGGAGGACAGCCGAGCGACTGCAGCTCCAGAAGAGGGAGGGAGGAGAGAAGGAGAAAGAAGGGTCTGAATTGGCAATTTTTTCTTGGCAGCGCTGAGAGCGAGAGCTGCGGAGTCGCGGACCCTTGGGGCCCTGTTGCCGTTCTTGTACATTTTGGGATCTCCCCCGGCCCCCTCTCTATCCCATGCTGCTGTGATTTTTTTTTTTCTTTTTTTTTCTTCCCTTTACTTCTACTCTCCTTCTTTACTGCTCCCACTCCCTCTTGTGTCTTCTCAAGGCTTTCCCTTTATCTTATTTCTAGATGCCTTGGTCCTGCTCCCTCTCCTTCCTTTTTGTCATCCTCTGTTTCTCTCCTGTAGCCTAGCACTATTTTTTTCCTTTTCCAGTTGTTGTTCCAGATTGGCTTTGGGGTCTCTTTGCCCACAGCTTTCTCTGGCCTGTTCCCTGGCATTCTCATCCTCGCCGTGCCTGTCTGCCGCTCCATATCCCTGCCTCCCTATTTCCCTCCCTCCTTGTCTTCCGGCCTCTATCCTGTGACCTCGCTGAGGCCTCTCCTGCTCCTGTATCTCCCTGTCCCTGTCCTCCACCCTGTTCACCTCGCCCTCTCTCAGACCCTCTGTGCTGCTCCCTGTCTTGATGGTTGATGGCTTAATCTCTCTCTCTTGTTCTCTCTTCCTGTCTTCTCTCATGCTCCACCTCTGTCCTCTCTGTTGCTCTTGTTGGTTCCAGGCCAGCATCCTACTGCCTGTCTCTCTTTTCTGCATTCATCTCCTGCTGTCCAGCTCCCTGTCGCTCGCCTCTCTTTAGATGCCTCTGTGCTGCCTCCTCTCCTTGCTGATCCCCCCACCCTGCTCCCCAATCGCTGCCTTGGCGCTCTTTCTCCACACCACTCCTGCCCTAAAATACTCCCACCTAAAATGCTGTCCCCCAGCAATACTGCTCCCCCCCCTGAAACGATCCCCTCAAATACCCTCCCCTGAAACACTTCCTGTCAAATAGTCCTCTCTAAAAAGTCCCCCAGCAGATAATCACATGGAAATGATCTGACCTCAAAATATACCCCTGCGAAATAATACTCCTGCTGCCCCTGCACCCCCAGCAAAATAATACTCCCCCCTCCCGAAATAAGTATTTCCCCCTCCCAAGCAATTGTCCCCCAATAATACTCCCCCACCCCTGCAAAATAACAATGCTTCTCCCCATGTAATATGGCTCTGCCACCGAAATCA